CTGACCTAAGACATTTCTGTTTTATTTGCAGTAGAAACCTAAATTTGCAGTAATTACACCAAATGCCTGATTATCGCCAGGAAAATTCTGACAAAGGTTTGTTTAGTGCATTTGCCTCCAAGTTCACCTGTTTTCATTCATCTACAAATACACAGTGGCTTCACTTTACAGTAAACCCCATGGAGATGTTTTGATGACGTGATAGCGCATTATCAAATGTAAGGATTACTAGTAGTAGTAATTTGCAATCTGAATAATTTGATGAGAAATTATTGGTAAACTTGATCTATATTAATACTTAGTTAATGAAACATTTCTTCCATTAATACAGAGCTTTTCCCCTCCAAGTATGACTCTTCTGTGGTTTGTGCGTGTGTGAAAATAAATATTCCACTGCTGTTCAAAATGAGAAGTGAGGTAAAAGAGTACATGAATTAACAGTGAACAGCTACTATCACTTAAGCTACTACCACTTAAACGTTCAGTTACCGATATAATTAATTCACACGGAATTAAAAAGTAACAAAAGATTAGAAGACCGACAATATCAAGCTTCACATTTCTAAAATATTTTTACTTCACAAAAGCACTGAGAATAATGCCTAGATGTGGTGATTTGCAACATGGTTCAAATGGTTCATAATAATTATGTGAACATCAAGATTAAACTCCAGCCTCAATTGCATTCTGGGCACTTCATTAAAAAGTGATATTTATTAAAAAATTCATCAAGCAGTCTGGGTAACGTGGGAACATTTTATCTTTCTCACAAGTGTGAAGAGTGTGCATGATATTTGTAATGCACAATTGCTGTTTGTGGTGTTATTAGTGCACGCTGTGGAGCTATACTTTGCTGTCTATATCTTGTATGACAAGAAACATGTTAAACAGTGCATTGCTAATTTGGGACAAAAACAATTGTTGTTTTAACACTTTTTGTGAAAAAATCCCTGAGAAACAGCCACAGCTTTCCTTAGACAATGATGCTCCTGCAAATTGAAAAAATAGCCACAAAGAGAGGAATTGGTCGTTTTCCTGCCTGTGGGCCGTTTGCTTGCAATGTCCAAGGCACTTGAAGCTGAAAGTGATATCATGAGGAGGAGCATTGCTTTCTGATGAGGATTTAATCTGGACCTATAGATGACTGGAAATAAATCTCAGGCCGCAACAGATGGGCCTACATGTGTTCATTGGTAAATTGAGGCGACATCTGTACATAAGAGTTGCTGGTGGTCCAGACCATTGCTGGGCTTGAAGGGGGATTTGTGTTCACTCTCAGTAAAAGAGAACACTTATTAGGCAGAGTTCAAAATGGCTAATAAATCCTCTCATTCCTTGAAAAAAAATCTGAATAGAAAGCAAAAATCAAGGGTCAAGGAAGATGCTCTCTTGCTGGTGAGTTGGTTAGACTGAGCGAAAACCCTTCCTTTGTCTGGGGACCCTCCAAGTTTTGTGTGTGAAAAGGACACTATAGGATCCGATCTGTTGATTGCATTCAAATCATCACCCCTAGCATCCAATCCATCATTACAGAGAGGGGGGTAAAGGACCACTTCAGCTAATTGGAATAATCCTCTGTAGAGTCATGTGATAATGGTGCTTCTGGTCCAGAGACGCTGATAATTATGGTAATTCGGTGCTATTCACAAAGAAGTATAAGCTTCAAAAGCTTTTGAATGCGTGAGGAAATGGGCAGCATACCCTACTATTATGCATAATTCCACACAGCTCTCCGCTGAAAAGAGTTTGCAAGCATTAGTTTGCTATCATCAATATACTTTTGTTATATTGTGGGAGCCTCTACTCTAAACACCACAAGACATCAGAACTATTGCTCTAAGCCCCACTAGGGATTCTATGGTGGCTTAAATTGATTTGAATAGGTTTTATTTAAGTACACTTAGGACAAAACCGGTTCGAACAAACTTTAATAAACCTACCATGGAGTGGGTTTCTAATAGATTGGAAGAATAAAACTGATTCACAACACAAATAATTCACAAAGTTTTTTTTATCTGATTATTAGATTGTGATGAAGGGTACCCCACAGCAAAGAGATACACTACTTAGATATTAACACATGCTAAGAATTAACATATACAGCAAGGCATGCATTACATAAATGATAACGTTAAGCTAGGAATGTATTACATTGATAACAAGCACAGCTAGGCTTACATCACATCAATGATAATCAGGGCAAGCAATGGATTACATGGATAATAACGAATAGTGGTTTCATGGCAAAGACAAACTTATCCACCTTTCAGTATGAATATCCTCCATGAAAGACACAGAGGGAACTGCCAGTAACCCACTCCGACACAAAGTGTCTGCATAGAAAAACAAGCTTTTTTATTTATGGAATTCCTCAATAGCAATGCTAGATGGTATGAAGAAAAACATACTTCGGATAGATTTGTGGGTTGTTGTGGCAATTATAAGCTGCAAGCTTTGCTCTTGATGAAATCTAAAACCGAATTAGATTTTATAAACGGTCCCAAATATCAGCTATTCTCTACATTTGCAATAGCACACATATTGAGATTCATAAATAAGCATGAGTTATTCAACTTATTGCCTTTAGCTGCTTCACAGTACTTATTCTTAAAGAATTAAAACATTCAATGAATAGCATCTAGCAACAAAATTTAGGGATAACAGTGCAAATGTAAATTACACAGAAGATAAATTTAGATTTAGCTGAGGCAATTCATTGTTGAATTTGTAGATTTTAAACTAATACAAATTGTACCCATATATACGAGTCACATATTGTGCTGTCAAGCTTGAATGTGCCTGGATCTAACTTGAGTCTAAAATCTCAGCACAATGCATTGCCCACAATGTTTCGCCCCAAAAATGTAGTCAATTCACTTTACAGTATATTCTGTGAAGCACTTTGAGACGTCTCAAAGACGTGATGAAATGCAGGTATTATTATTATTGTTGCAGCTGATGAGTTTTCTTCCCGGGCTTCCATACTTGGGAAGATTGTCATGGATTCCCTGGTGTGTCCTGCTGCTGTACAGTCTCTATCGTGTGGATTTGACCATCTGACAAAATTCCTACTCAGAAATGTCTTTGCTGGACTGTCAGGTCTTTTAATTCATGGAGCTCCACCAGATACCTGTTTTGTCATTTTCGTCACCCCCGCCCACCAAAACAGCAGGCAGTGTCCTGCTGGCTTTTTACTAGCCAGCATTTTTTCAGACCTTGCTGCCTCGGGATTTGCAATTTGCTGGCTATGAATTTCACAAAACCAATCTCTCACCAAGGGGTGGCCAATTAAAATACAGGAGAACATAGACTGGCTGAGAATTGTCCACTAATCAACTATAAATTATCTTCTCTAATAAATTTGTAATAACTAAATCACAACTGTTGCTCAGAGTGGACGAATTGTGTACAGCAATTTGGATCATTGCCAACTGTCGGCTCCAAGTTCTGGTGATTTGTATTTCTTTATTTTAACTTTTGTAATAACTGTTGCAACAACCCCACTTTGCACTTCAGAGAATTCCTTAAAGGTGAAATTGAAAATAGCAGAATAACTTCATGGGATGACCACAGCCCACCACGTTAGAGGTCAGTTTGTAAAAGGCAGCACCATGGAGCTTGAAATAATCTCACTTGAGTTCACAAATTGAATTAAGGTTTTAAACAGAACCCCAAAAGGGGGTAGGGTTCAGCCATGAAAACAATGGGACAATGAAAGGAGCTTAAATTTTAAACATAAACATCATGCAGACCTGTATTTGTCCTTTTCCTTATTTGCATTTTGTATTAGACAGAACTGCATTAAACCCAGCAGTCTGATCACTCCACAAAGGAAAGCCATTGTGAAGTTTCACTGTTTAATGTGCAGTGTGGGTCTGGTAGGTTTGAGTTGTCTTTTCTACCTTTTGTTCTTTCCCTTTTATAAATCCAAGAGATAACACAGAACTACAGGCCGACACTTGGTATAAATACTTTCCAACATATCTCCCCCACTTTCAACCCGTCTTCCCCGACAGCAAAAATAGTTGCAACATGAATTCTGCTGTGTTATCTTCCAAATACACAGATCAAAAAGAGAAATGCACAAATAATACAGCTTCCGAGTAAAATGAAGAAAAATATGTGTGGATCTGAGGTGTATTGGACCGATCAAAACAAATGCACAAGGATGGAATAGTTTTGAAAACGCTCCAGTGACATTTGCTGAATATTGCACATATTTGGATGTCAGGTGCGAGAAGGATATGGTGTTTCTGTGATGCTCTTAGTTAAATAACATTTCTACACTTACTTTCAATTGCACATAAAGAATGACCATTTGTGACTGACTTAGAAACAAACAAATCAGTGCCTTCAGGAAAGAGGGTAGTGGGAGAATTGGACACAAGGAAAAATTAGTATTGATAGTCAGATGAAGGTTGACCTGAAAACATTACAGAGTAAATCCATTCAATGTACAAAAATGCAAATGCACTGATTCAAGTATATAAATGTGTATTTGTTCTATATTCTGAAAACCTTAACATTATTAAAAAGGGATAGCTCATAAAGGTCTTATTATTTTGAGATATTTCACAGATTCAGCTCTGAAAGCTCATTTTAAAATATGGCGCAGTATTCAGCTCAGACAAAGCATCATTGGAATTCTCTTTACAGGTATAATAATAATAATAATCCTTGCATCTGATATAGCGCTTTTCACGTCTTCTAGATGTCCCAAAGCGCTTCACAGAATACACTGTAAAGTGAATTGACTGTATATTTGTGGGCGAACGCGGCAGCCAATTGCGCTCAGCAGTGTCCCACAAACAGTCATGGATTGAAAATGACCAATTTATTGTTTTTTGTTTTGGAGGGATTATTATTATTATTATTATTATGTCACCCACCCACGCCTATACAAACAAGGGAACTGTGAAGTACAGCACCTTTAACACTGTTAAGTGTGTTAATTAGTCTTTGTATTTGTACATGTAAATCAACCACAAAGGATACAAGGAAACTATAAATTCTGTATTTATTAAACAATTTAAAAAGTTCATTCTCTGCAGTGATAATATTACCTTCTGTTCATGGAATGTTGATCATAATGCTTCACAAAATATACAAGTGTATTGTGATTATTCAAACAGCCCAAATGTTTCTTTGTGCCAGAAACACAACAGAGTTTGCAAAATATTAGAATCATGGAAAATCTTGATTTTATTTGATATTTGACAAAACGAAATCAAGAAAAGACCTAGGACTTCTTCACGTGAATTTTATTTTGAAAATCAAGAGCATTCCTTCAATTTAGAGACCTGGATTTTTGGTTGTCACTTGTGTTACAGCCTCTCTAATGGCATATATTATAGGAGGGGACACAAAGGTGGGACCTAGCACAACCCAGAGTAGAATGGATACCTGTTCCTTTATTCACATGAAAACCTATCCGTTAAGATTTTGGAAGATCCTGTGCTAGGAAATAAAACAACACCAATTATTCGTGTTTAAGTCAAAGGTATTTCCTACAAAGAGACACATTTTCAGTTTTTTAAATTTTGCAATCAAGAGCACATAGCACTGAATTTGTTAAGTCTAATCTACACTTTTAAAATCCTTAAACCTGGAGGGCTTCACAGTCATGTTTTATGAAGGATTATAGTGCAAGGTGTCAAGAAATGACATGATCAGACATTAGTTTCTGCTATATACTCTGCATAAACTTCGACCAAGTTATCAGAGGTTGTGTGGAATAAATTTGTTTCTTTTTCACTTTTTGCTTCTTTTTGCTCTGCATTAGTGAGAATCTCTATGTTATTTAAAATAAATGAAAAACAACTTTTGTCTATTCTATTTTTTTAAACCAACACGTAAATGAACTAGGAGACAAGTTGGGGAATAAATTGCGACTCTTTCACCCAGTTGGTGTTTGTGCCACAATCATCTACTTCGGACTTGGATAGGTCTGGACTGACTTGAATAAACTCTGAATCCTGAAAGTAACAAACTGTGTCAAAGCAAATAAACCAAGTAATGAATTTTCAAAAGTCTATATGAATTAAAGAATGAAAGAATACAGGCACCTAATCAATGGTAGCCTTAAATGAAAATAAAACCACCACACATTCAGATAATACTTAATCACTCTCGACACGATTTATGTGTTAAATTGCAAAGATTATCTGTTACCCTTGTGTTCTCCAATACAAACAAGAAGGAAAACGCATTAATACTTGTACATAAGATAGAAAAAGTCTCCAATAAATCGAGCTAGCGTCGACTAAATTGTGAGAAAAGGTACAGCACTCCTACCAACAGAATGCCACGCATTCCCATCAGCATTATCATCAGCAACAGAACAACGGACATGATAGGTTCAATGACTTGATTTCCTATATTCCATCGAGGGAAGCCCATGTTAATCAGTCGCTGATTCAGGTCTGTAAAGAGTGAGCGGCCTTCATTCACTTGTCCCCGGTGAGGCTGGTTTGTATTTTCAGAGTGTTGGATAAAACCCTGAAATGTAGGACAGCAAAAGGTAAGTTTCTCCCACAAAATAAACAATCACTATACTTTTCAGTATATTCTGTGAAGCGCTTTGGGACGTCTCAATGACATGATAAGGCAGTATATCATATGCAAGGATTAATATTATTAGTAATAGTTATTTGGAGGAGTGCAGGGTCTATGCAGGAATGAAATGCAGGTTCATTCCTCACACAAGTTACCAGTCTCAGCTGTGTTCTTGGGGAGTGGAATAATCACCAATAATAATAATAATCATGCTAATAGTCAACAGACCATTTATGCACCTGCTGTTGAAACAGCAACATTGGCACTGACCTAGGTGTATATTATCTGCCAACTTCATATGGGTGTGGAAAATGGTGCAGGAGCATATGGCTCACCTAAAGAGATGAAGGCGTTGACTGAAGTGAGGGTCTGGGAACATCAATTGCAAGTTTTTTTTAAATTCATCCCATAGAGTCCTTTGACTTGTTAACCTCAGACTGCATATAAGAGACCACCAGACAAAATAAAATACAATTCTTCCTATCATTCTAGTGCAAGTTGTCAATTTGTGCCAGGTCTACCGGCATACTATAAAGCATAATCTGGTGATATTAGTGATAGCTGTGGGGCTCTGTACCTTTAAATAGTTTACATCTTTAAATATACCTGCATCCCACGTAGGGTGTCAGGGCAATAACATCTACACTGCAAGCATATGGTCCAAATGTCAAAATCGATCTGACTGCTTCACACAAGATGCGCTGTGGAAACAAACATTGCGCACAACATGGCTTTGCTTCTCAGCAGTAACTGTGGCTGAAACTTCAAATACATTTAAATCAAATGTTCGACATTTAAAAAATTTTTCCCTCTGTATCAATGAGCTCCCCTTCCTCTATCCCGAAAGAATTGGACTCATTTAGACTCCGACTGAATGCAGTACAGTTCCAAGGCTCCAGTTATTCTTCTGATAAATTGCCCAAGGGGCAGGATCTTCAATCATGCATCACAGGCAACCTTCAGTTGTCCTCACTGTTCTCATCTAATGTCAACATACATGCTGTTCCTTTTAGGGGAGGGGAAGCGGGTTCCTTTGCAGTGACCAGAAGCATGAATCACAACTGATTTTCCCCTTCCTTCTTTAAGGGTCTAAGGCCAAGTATGGTGCTTTACCTGCTACCTGGGTAAGATCAGCTAACACCACAGACCAGGATTTGGACTTGCTATATATAGCTTAGCAATCACCAGGCAGTGTTTTTGCTTACTCTGACAAAATGAGGACATTTTGTATTTTCAGTGTAAAATACCTGCACATGTAATTAGGAATAAATGCCATGAGTTAATCACAAGGCTAATTTATGTTTGATTGCTCTCACAATCTCACTGCCACATATGCTGAATTTTACACAATGGGTGCAGCGTTTTCAGCTTTGACATCAGTAACATAAGAAAGTATGAATGAGAAATGAACCCATCGAGCTCCTACCTCAATCACCAAAAAGTCTTCCTGGTTATGGTTCTCAGCTCTAACTCAAATGGGAGAGTACTGCATAAATACTCAATGAACCTAAAGAAAACCTCCAGGTCATTCACTCATCCTCATCGAGTCCCAGAATGTTTGTTCATCACATATTCATATTAAACCCTTCAATACAACTCTGAAGCAGTTACTTGATTGAGTAACTGCTACCTTCGATGTGATGTTAAACCAAGGTCCCATCTGTCTATTCAGGTGGATGTTAAAGATCCCATGCCACTATTCAAAAAGAGAAGGGAGTTTCTATTGGCGTCCTGGGCCAAAATCTCTGCCAAATAAAATCAAATGGGTCACTCCCTCAATGTTTGTGGAACATTGCTGTCCGTAACTGGCTGCTGCATTTCACCCACAAAATATACAGTCAATCCACTTTACAGTATGTTCTGTGAAGCACTTTGAGACATCTCAGTGACTTGTTAAGGCGCTATATCAAATGCAAGGATTATTATTATAACATTCAGAAGTCACTTTCCCATCAGTTATCTTTTCGACCACCTTTTGGCTCCCTCCCCACCCCAGAAAAGCTCAGGCCCTTACTGAGCCATTTTGAGACATATTCCTCGCGTGAAAGGTGCTATGTAAATGTAAATTCTTGCTCGATTTCTTTTTGACAGACGTTGATTGACACAGCATCAAACAGTGTGTCGGGAGGTAGCTTTACTAAACTGGATGACTTTAAATAAATAACATTCGGCCACCTTATTGCATAAATCACCAAATCGCTGAACTCAACCAGACCTGCTCAGACCATCCAACTTCCTTTTAAATGCAGAACAATCCAATCCTGTCACCCAAAATAGGGCTCGAAATGACTCTTCGTGGCAACATCTTCCCAGATCCGGGAAACAGGGATTTTGCGGAGCGGCATTTTCTTGGGGGAAGTGGAACCGCGGTCTCGGGAGATCGATGGCCTTCCCCTCCGACAATGGCAAGGAATCGTATTCCTGCACTAAACCATGAATTGAGGAATGCAAAGCCATGGGATGAAGCGCTCAGTCGGATGAGGCACACGCTCTTTTTTTTTTGCAGATGGAAATACGAGCGCTGTTGGCTGATCCGCTTTATCGATCGGATTGATTGACATTGATCGATCGATCGATCGATCTCCCCTCCCCCCTCCCCCCCCACCCACCCCCATTTGCAAGAGCCCACCTGCCGGGGTCTGTTGAGGTCTTCCCTGCGATTTGCTGTCTTCCTGACCCGCGGATCATCGTCCGGAACGATGTCCCCATTCGCCAGAATACGAACCATCCTCCCGCACGCGTTAAGGTCTTCCCGAACCTGAACAGGGAGAGGACAACCAGACAGCAACCAGTCAGCAATGGCAGAGAGAGGGGGAGGGGGAGAGGGGGAGAGGGAGAGATGGGGGTCCAAATAGTTAGCAAATTACCTCCCTGTTCCATGCAACGACCCCCACCACCACCACCACTCTCTCCCTCCCTCCCTCCCTCCCGGGTCTCTCCTACTGGGGTTTAGAGTCACGTCACCAAAACAAACCCAAAGGAAATGAGATTTCGGTGTGTGTTACACCGAATGAAATCCCTTCAGTCACTTCCCTTCCCCGACAGCTCTGCGGCGCATTGCTGTTGCCCCCCCCCCACCCCCTCCCCTCTCCCCCCTACCCCCCTCTCCCTCCCCCCCCTCCCCCCCCCCCCGGGCCGGGGGCCAGCGGACCTGCTGGTGTTCAAAGGCTCTTTGCCAGATGTGCGGTGGACCCACTTCCAGCTGCAGTTGGCCACCTCTTTTCTTTGTTTTCGTTCGTTTTTTTTTCTCTTTCACTCTCTCTCTCTCTCTCTCTCTGTTGTTTTTGTATCCTGTGGAATCCTCTCCCTCTCTGTCTCTCTCTCTCTCTCTCCCCTCTCTCTCTCTCTCCACACACACACACACAAATGTAATGACTAAGCAGGAAATCCACGAAGTGATGTAAATGATTGTTACTTAAACGCCTCGTTTGTACCAACAGTAAGTGCGGAGGTTAATAATAATCATTATCATCATCATCATCATCATCATAATAATCCTTGCATTCGATGCAGCACCGCATCGCGTCGTTGAGACGTCTCGAAGCACTTCGCGGGATATATTGATAAATGTGCATTTTGCGAGTGAAATGCGGCCGCCAATTGCACACAGCCATGTCCCACAGACAATCATGGATTGAGTGACCGTGTTATTTTTTTTAGGGATTATTATTTATTATTTTGAGGTTAGGATAAGTAAAAATAATTCTTGCATTTCGGTCTAGCGCCCACACAACCGCCCTGAGGGGTAAAGACCACCACACGCAGATTTTACATATGCAGAGAATGTGGCGTATTCTATATGTTTTTAAAATTACCCATATTAGTTTTCCAAAAAACTGTTCTAATAGAGGCAGTGAGGAAATTGGTGGCACTCTCACCTCTAAATCAAAAGGTTGTGGGTTCAAGACCCGTATTAGCTTTGGAACTCACAAGTTTAAGCTCTTTACAGGGTATACAAGTGATGTGTTCCATCAAAGAAAAATAATATTAAGTTCATTTGCCGCCAAAAAGAAACATCTTGGAACTGTTAAAACATTGAAACAAAAAATAATGCAGTGCAGCCCTAGCTGTGGAGGTGAGGGGCACTCTGTTGCATAGGAATAATAATCCTTGCATTTGATATAATGCCCTATCACATCTTTGAAACGTCTCAGAGTGCTTCACAGAATATACTGTAAAGTGAATTGACTGTGTACTTTGTGGGCGAAATGCGGCAGTGAATTGTGCACAGATGTGTCCCACAAACAGTTGTGGATTGAGTGACCAAATAATTTTTAAAACTTTTTTTGAAGGGATTATTGCCCCCGGAAAAGCGATCCGCCAATTGACTAGCCACCGAGTTCCTACTTACTGCTAGTAAGAGGCATGTGGGGTAAGGAGATTTGCCCAATGTTTTGCTTTGCCCGGGAATCAAACCCAGGTCCTCTTGCTTGCGAGATGAGTGCTCCAACCACTTAGCTAGAGGACTCCACATTTCATGCCTTGAGATCCTTCCGGAGACTATCTAGTGATATAGGGTGAGAGTGGAGTTCGCTTCTTCTGTGTGCTTACCTTTATTTATCAGGTCAGCAATGCTCTTTATACCAAGACATCCCAATATCTGACATTTGAGATCTCAAAGACATGATAAAGCGCTATAACAAATGCAAAGATTATTATTGTTATTATTTATTTAGCACACTCAGCATTAAACTGAGCGATAATGGAAATTCTTCCAAATAGTAAAGTTCCAACAATTGCAAGACATCACCTTGTTGAAGAGCGTAACCTAATAGTCTGCAGAATATCCCCCCTCCCGGTTGTTTAAACTTCCCAACTTACTTTAAAAGTATTGAAGTATACATTCAAGGTATTTCTCTTTTCAAATGAAAAAAGTTATGTTGTTTGATTTACAATCTGCATAGATCTCTCCTGAAAGTAGGGAATGCTTTGAAAGTTTACTTCATGGGTTATTTCTGAATACAGCCGTAGGGCCTGCCTGAGTCTGTCTCACTGAAAGTACAATTGTGATCTGGACTCAATATTGAAAGCAAAACCATTACGATATGTGACGCAAAATGATCAAAGTTAAATGGCATTCAAACAACTTGTTTGAAAGGAAAATTCATGGGGAATGGTACTGATCAATGGACTTTGGGAGATAAAAATAGGAACTTTCATTAAACGTGGAACATTGACCTCATTCGGAAGAAGTCATCCTTTGTGCTGATTGTTGCCATGTACTTCAGTTTGACAATTGCCCTGGCACATGGTCTTTTTGCTTCTAAACCATTTTGCTAAAATAACATTTTACAACAGCAGAGCAGTATATAAAGGCTGTCGCTCTCGACATCGCTGACTGAGGACACAACATGCATGCCAGACACCCAGCAGAAGAGCAGTTCGTCTTTTGTTCAGTCTTGAATTCTGGTAACATTGTTCTCCTTTTTTCTGAGAGAATAAAAAATATTTTCTTTGCTTTTTGTGTGCTGATGGATGATCTGGGTGGCTTTTATATGCAAACTAATTTGGAGACAAACTAAGTGAATGACCTATTAGAAAGGCCCTTTCAGCTGTAATTGAATTTCTTCACTTGTTATTTTGCAATGAAAATGTCATATATATTGGTAGACTCTATTCAACCCGAATTAGATCTCGTTAGAAAGAAATGGTTTCTTCGGTGAGCCATGAAACTTTTCGGAGTGGCCTGTAACTATGTGGGGCAGCTGGAAAGGGCTTCCCGAGGCACATGTGCTTCAGTTTGCAAAAGCTGTAAAGACTTGTGAATTTCTATTCAACGTGGGCTTCCCCCTCTGCCTCTGTGGGTTAAGTCGGAGCTTTCTGCTGAGCAGCCATGCTGAAAATTTAGAGTGACACTTGAACAATCTGCAGATCAGGCTCTAAGTTGTACATGAGCTGTTTTGTTGAACAGTTCTATTTTGCAAGCACACAAATCCCGTATGTCGAGATGTGGGCAAGACACCTTTTCTGCAGTAAGGGTTTATTCTCCAGTGCAGACTGCAGGAACAATCTACAAATGCGATTAGCTTCCTATTTTGCAGGTTGAATGGGAACCTCCAACATTGATTTCCACTCTGTGCCACAGCACATCTTTTTAAATCTGTTTTCATTCAGGTGGAAGAGGAAATTTCCACATTGATTGGCAATCTGCTGTTGAAATAATGAGATATCTGAACTAAACACAGATTCTCATCTCTGAATACCAGATCTGTTGAGAGTTAATGATATTAGGAGCACAAAAAGACATATAAAACAACAAAAAGTTTGCCTATAGAAAATTGATGAAGCAGTATAATAAACACTAACTATAGTTTATGAGATATGGTATCAGCTGGTTCCAATATAGATTTTAATTGAACTTAATTAACTTTGAACCACAGCTTTATTCACCCTATATTTCCATCATTCTTTACATTTCTATCTTAAAGTGAGTAAAAAAAAAGGTTTTTATGATTTCAGATACAGATTTAGTCAAAAGTGAACAATAGCGAAATGAATGCAGCCATGAGAGCAATTGGGCTGCAACAGTTGTGCCCAGCTCTGTGGGGAGGCATAATATTCGGGGTTCCTGCTCCTAAGGTCTACCAAGTGACTGCTAAAAAATATGTGTGTGTCCATGCACGGTGAGGACATCCTGTGATATCCTGTGATATCCACTCATGCACAGAGATTTAGTATTTATTCTCCAGGCTCCGGCTTGAAGACACTTGGATGAGGTACAGTGTAGACATCTATAGAATTGTATTCCAACCAGATTCAGGAAGACAGAGAGGGTAAAAAGCCTCCTACTGACCTCAACCTAAGGGAATACAAAACTGTCCTTTGCAGTTTCAAATTGCATCCTTATGAAATAATAGCTGCAAAAATAATTAGTGTAGTCCAATGCTCTGGAGCTAATGTCATGATTGGGTGCATGTTTTTACACCAATATAGATTTTGCAAGTTAAAAAGTCCCCTTTTAACCTCGAGATGGAGCCTGTCCAGACATACTATACAACTGAGGAAACAAAAGGATGCTCTGATTTTTGGCACATGGTGGAATTTATGCTCCCATGCACAAATACAGGAATTTACTAAGAAATTGTCTGAAGTGCAGATGCCATCAAGGAAATGACTATTATGTGACAAAGCATGACAGGCACCAATGTTCCCTAGTTTAGGAAGGGAGAAAAAACATCAGGCCATTATGTCTTTAAAACAGCTGCTTGAAGTACAATAATTAGTAATAGCTGCAGCGTCTGAGAATATAAAACAATTCCTGTTTGTAAGACATTTTCACATCAGTGCAATTCTAAAGCACAAACCACAATCATTTGTTTTTTTGTTGGGGGGAGGAGAAAAGGAAAGGGCATAAATTAGGAAGAAAATCAATAGATGCTAATAGAAAATCACAAATCAACTAGGCCATTCTGACAAGGCTGCATTGTACAAGCTGATTTCTGCATTCCCATGTTTGAAACATTTTTACCTTGGAATTGGCTGCTGTCTAGTGGGTAACTTAGTGCAGTGCAGGGCTGCATGGAAAGGCAGGATAGTATTCACTGACAAGAACAGTATCTACAACCACAAAATGTGCAAACTGAAATTCAGCAGCTGATTTTTATTTTTTTATTTTATAGCTGAGACATATGGGCATCATCAACATACTCTGCAACAGACAATGTGTATTTATTGATGCAAAAGATACACATGTAGCAGAAGTAGAATTACTGATCTGGGAGTAGTGAGGCATAGGAAACAAAGAATGAGTCATAAGGAAAGTCAACAACCCATTAATGTCACTCAGACTTGTACTCATACCACCCTACTCCTCATCAATAAATGTTACAGCTTCTCACAGGACCATTCAGAGATTATTTTCTCTCTTGGGAGAATCAATCACGGTGGTGCAGGCTGTTCATGGAGCAGAAGGTTGTGGGTTCAAGCTCCACATTGGACCTGAGCTCATAGTCTGGTGTGGTAATTGTAGGATGTATTATCAGATGTGCCCTTTTTCAGATGAGATACTAAATTGAGG